CCAAGGCCGACCGGGAGTTTAGATCGGACATGTCTGAACATGCTTTTGTTTTTAATATTTTACATACGCTAGGGTCCAATGCCAGCTAACTTTATCTCTGATTAATTCAACGTCCTCTGCATGAAAGAGCACGTTTGTGAATCATAACTAAATGCTACTGTTTGCTTTGCCTATTTCATTCAATTTGATCTTTGTAAGTGTTACGAAATAATTCAATGTGTGTATTGTTGGAAGTATCAGCCAGTGATAAGTTGTTTAATCTATAGATTATTTAAAGGGTGGTGGTTAATCATGTTTGAAATGAAGATATGAATCCTGAAAGGAACTAAACATAGAATTGTAGTCGGCTATAACACTATTAATAATTATTTTTATTATTATTAAAAATTGTGAATTTATAAAGCAAAGTGAAATAATGTTATATGAAAAACTAAGGTAAAGAATTTTGTGTAGAAGTATTTTTTAATATTATTATTGTATTTATTTATAGACATTACTGTTACTGCGTTCATATACGAAATCTAATATCTTGAAAAATTATTCTGAAGTATACATATTTATCTATAAGTAATAGCGAAAAAGACGTAAATACCTTTAAAGATAAAATAGTGTAACCTTTCACCTGTCTTTCGTACTCGGTCGTTATCTAGTCTGTGACATATTGTTTGTACAATTGTTGTCCTGTGTCAATATTATCCTATACTATTTATAAACTGTTTACAAAGAGTGCGATAGTTACTGTATTAGACTCGTCTATAGATTTTATATTAGGTAATTAACGAGACAAAAAAGATGTGTAATTTTAGACGTAACAGATATCTTATTGCTTTTAAAGAATTTAGTATTGATGAAATAAGCAAAATTAATTAAAAATAAATTGATATATTTTGCCTGATTGCTATGACCGTGGAGGAAAGAATGTTCAAAGTTAGTCATCCGTTCAAGCCACGGATATTAGGACGGACATACATAGACACATAACAATAGACATAGCCCTTCTATTACTAAAAAAAATCAATTATTATGCCGTTTTGAATGAGTCATGCATTTTTTGATGTCGATATGTAAGTTGAGAAGTGTAATAGATGGAAAATTTATACGGCAATATTTATGACAGCGTAGTACCTTTCTGCCCTTTTCCCATGTTTGGGTTTTACTAGTTTTATACTCTTCCATTATGTCTCCTGAGGAGCTGTATGTTGTTCATTTAACTCTATATTATTTTTACACACACACACACTCACATTTTTTATACAATCCAACCACACTTTCTTCTACTAGTCTTTCTTCTTGTATTGTGCTAATTTGAATTATTAACATTATGTATTAATTGACGATTCAATGTAATTTATTGCCTATTGCAATACCAAGAAGCGATAAACTTAATGTTGTCTTATCAGACATTATTTCAAAGAAGACATTGCTTGACTTCTGAGATTCCATCTGGAATGATCTGCGAGGACCATATGACATCACTTTCTATAATTGATCCATCCGAAAAGAAACATCTCTTAAGAGACCCCGTAATTGATGTAACTCTTTTTTTTTGTTTTGAATTTATCATTATTCAGACAAAATGAAGCGTTGCTTTTGAATTGCTTTTTTTCTAGTGATAAGATAGTATAAATAGCTTAAGACCTATATATTGTTTTTATTATTTCAATGTTATGTCTCTGGAAATGTTTAATATATCGTAAGTAAGCTACTTGTAAGATTTACTAACACTGGGATTATATAGTTATGTTTTTAATTCTAAAATCATAATCCATAGTCAATAAAGTCGGTAATCAACAGAATTGTATGATCTGTCTACCCTTGAGTTGAGTCTTGAGTTGCAGCCGCGAATATATGTAACTAATTTCGACTACACGACGAAGTCTCTTAAGATATGTAACTCTTGTTATTGGGTGGATCGATTGAGTTATCCATTTTTACGCTTGATAAACTACAAAAGTGATACTTCCTCTGTCAACTAATACTATAAAGAGGTAAAAATTGATTGTTTGTGATTGATTCGAAAAATTCTTTTCACTATTGAGATGCTATATTATCCCCAGGTGACATGGGCTATCAAAATATGTAGGTTTATATTGCTGGATTTTTCAAATTCCGCGCGTAAGAAGTCGCGGGCACCTGCTCGTATTGGATAAAAGACTACTCTCGGTCACTATATGACACAAACTCGTAGATAGATGCATTGTGTTGGAACAGCTTTAGGTCTTTATTACTCACCGACCGTTTTCCTCTACTTTTTATTATATCTCGGTTCGTTCGAAGCGGAACGGGTTTTGACTTACGTAGGCATTAAGAGGAACGATATTACGCAATGGTTAATAATAAAGTAAATTGGATAAATACTATGTGTATTTATATATTTTAAATTAACAATTACAGGGTATTAGTGCCTTTTTCTTTAAATACTTAAAAAAAATATTTTTTTTAGACCAATGAGATTCCACAGAACACTTTTGGCTTTGTTTGCTTTTTTTAGAAATGATAAATAATCCATATTACTTGTACTTGGAATAATCCGTACCTTTGCCTCCATTTTTATTATCTCTAAGAACTTTCATATTTTTCAACACAATACTATACGAAAAAAAAAGTTTTTTATTACACATTGATTTCGTTATCAACGGATCAAAAAGAAAGTATAATCAGATAACATATCGCCAATTATCTCGCAACTCTATTGGGTTTGAACATCGAGTACACTCCACGGCTTGTCGTATTCGTAGAGTGTACTTACCCCTACTACTATGGCTTTGAATGTATGAATTGAAAATCCCAATGCAACTGCCTATACAATTATAAAAACTTCCAACCATTACGAAGTACTTCCGTGAGGCGCGCCTGTGTTCGCGTACTTTTTTATATTCGAACGAGCAATTTATAAGCCTTTTCAGATTCGTACATTGATTTTATGCTCGCTAAAAGTAATTGTATTATTTAGCTTTTGAGTTTTTAATAAAATAATTGGTTGAATAAGTTCTTCCGCACTCTATCGGATATATCAAGGGTTCGTGGAGTTATTGTATACATACATGAATGTAAATTTTTTTACTCCTTTTATAGAAATTGTGCAGATGTGAAATTTGACACGGTTAATGTAATAAAGTGCATAAAGCTGTTTTTAAATTATGGAATTTCGACCAGTTAGCGGTCATTAACTTAAATTATTTACTTCACATTTAGTTTGATTTATGAAATACAATAAAGTACAGGATATAGGGAAAAAGGTATCTGTTCCAAAATTAAATTTATCCTTAAATTATTATTTGTTGTTATTTTTTATCAGAAAAGCTTTATAGGATTCAAACTGAACTGAACTGATTAAATCTCGGACGCCATACGTCAGGTGGTGCGGCAGGTTGACTTCCCGCCACAAATATTTCGTTTCATCATGTAATCAGAGATTGTCAACCTTTTCTAAAAATCGATCACATTTTGGACAATTTGTTATTGAGCGTTTAGACTATCGAGGCGGTTGTTTAAAATCACATTGTCGTCCCTCTCTATCAGTTTGAAAAAAACAGAGACATCGATATGTGTCAATACAAGTGATTGGCTGTGGAACTTTGTGGTTAGTGTATTCCTGTTTTTTGGAATCAACGTAAAGGAATGAAGTCGTAGGTTCTGGACTAAAGGAAGAGCTGGATGGTGTTTTTTTGTAAATTAAAGAGAAATTATTTAAACAAATTTCGTTTACTTACGTTCTTTAAATATCTCTTGTATGATATTAAAACAATTAAGTAAAGTGCAATTCTGGTTCCAGGTTGACGATCCCTGTCTTATACTTTAAGTTTATCGCATGAGTTAAATTTTGCCATACCACGGCTTCTGTGCATTGACTTGTTTCCGCTCGTTACTTTTTTTATTATTCTTAACAAAAAACAAATTATAGGGTATATTTTTTACGATAAATAAAACATCCCACTATGGGTATTAAAAAGTATTTCACATTGGAATCAAACAGTTAAAATACCATACTTTGACAACATTTCAATGATGTTTTAACATAGATTAGTCAACCTTTTGAATGCTTGTTAATACGATTCTTATGAAAACTCATTCTCCACGCGAACCAAATGCTCGAATGCTTGAAATATCGTCAGTGTTCCTATGTTTCTGAGGTAAACTAGTAAGTGAAATTTATCTGTGTGTGTGAGAGTGTGTGTGTGTGTTTTGTATATCAGTTGAATTAATTACACATACTCCTATTACATATTTTGTCTATATCAATTGGCATTTATCGATTAACGTCATTATATATGTTTATTGGCGAGATAACGGACGTTTTATTAGTTGATTTCTCGTTACGTGCGGATCGACTGGTGTAAAATTGCTTTCAGTATGTCTCATTATATAAAACTGGAATCTGTCGCTAGTTTAACGCCTGGATAAAAATTTGTTGCCTGCATTATGAAATTGTGTCATTATATTTGTTGTAAAGGAGGTAAATATTGTTTGTTTTTTATTACATAAGCTTTGATTCTAATTTAGAGATCGCTATCACTGTTTTATTCTTATTCCAACTAATTAGGTGCTATATGAGTGCAAAAAATAACTTTGAAAACCCGAAATTAATTTTTAATATGTCTTAAATACCCACTATTTTTATTATCTAGCACTTATAAAATATTATAAGTTGGTTTATGGTTGTTTTAAATGAGCGGCTGTGTGAGGAAATAATATATATTTTAATTAGTAAACTAAATATAGAAGAATGAATGCAATCTACATTTAGCATATGTGTGGACGATTCACTTTGTGTAGCCTCTATCATAACATTATTGTATGTGGAGGGTACAAACACGACCGCGTTGCTTTCCTCAAAGTTAAGTAATCTGAAGCCACTAGAGGGAGTGAAAATCGCTTTTTTAAGGTTTTTTTTCTTTTGTTATAGGACTAATTCGTATTATGTTATTTAGAAAGTTTTGCAAAACGGACGGATTGAATGTATTATGTACGGTATGTATATGTTGATTTGTTTATTTCAGGTGATGGACAATGAGTGATGCGCGGTAGCGGCTGGCGGTGATGCAGCGCACGCACGCGGGCGGCGCCCCCCCGCCGCATTCACACGCCCCGCCCCTCACACACGCACACCCACACTACCGGGCGCACGCGCAGGCGCACCCTCTCTATGCGGACATCGATGATCAGGTGATGAAGAAATTACTAGTTATACCTTTTCCAACTCATCCGTTTACATTTCTAAGTAGACCCTAAAAATCCTATCAATTTTTAATTATTAAACATCAATATCAAAACTAAGCACAAAATTAATTCATGTTATAAGATACGAGATGGAAAGAAATATTTTAATCCTATTTTTTCTTTATTTCAGATTCCAGCTTCGGTGATCAGTAGTGTGGGAACGGTCAGTTTATCTCAATCAACAACAAATCCAACCCCAAACATCACAATGGCCAACCCGACTAACCCTGGCACTGCTAGTAGCACTAGCAACGGCCAAGCTTCGGCACAACAAACTACAACAGCGCCAGTGCCGAGGAACCTGCCAAAGAAGCGCAAATTCGATCCATCAGAGTTCGAGGATATTGATCGGAATTGCGTATCCAATATCGTGTCGGCTCCCAGTTACACTACGCCGGTGTTGCCCTCTCCGATCGTGAAACAATCGCCACCGCCGTCCGAATTGAAATCGTACACAATGTACCCAAATATAGATTTATCAGAGTGGCGCGATCACAGGGTGTTGGCAAAGCAACGCGGTCTATACGTCCCGGGTGTTATCCGGCAGGCGGAAGGTTGTAAAGTGATCGTAGAACTAGACGGGCAAGAGAACGAGCCAGTTGAGTATTGTGATGTGTTCGGTGCGAACAAATACGATGTGATAAGTGATGCCAGTCCGCAGCTCAGCCACTTACAGATTGGCTCTGCGTGCGTGGTCCGGACCGCGGACCACAGTAGGGAGAGTGTTCAGAACATATTTATAGAAGGTTTCGTGTTTGAAGTGCACAATTCGCCTATTAGGATTCGTGTCAGGGTGAGTGTTTAAATATAATTTTGATTTTAATTCGGCGATTTAAATGTTACTACAATTTTTTCCTTCCTAGGTATCTGATGGCGAGGAGTGTAAAGACACGGTAGAGGTGAAGCGTGCAGACATACGGCTGCTGCAGCCGCCGTGGGCCGATGAGCTGGAGGACGCGGACTGCAATGCCGCTGCCATTTACCCACAGATGCTGCGAGCACACCATCCTCCATCACAGGTAGGGACTTAACAGAAGACAGCGGATTGTCCTACTCTTTCTTTTCCTTTATTTCTCTTGTGCCTTCAAAGTGGACTTAGATACCGGCAGAAGTCATTTATGTGGTTTAAAAAAGGTTGCAAGTCATTTGACAACGACAATTGCTCATTTGTGTTATTAAGCAAATCCCTCTCACACAGATCTGCGGTAACCACTTTTACACATCGTCTCCGATGGCGGGCGTGGTGGCAGGCGGAGGGTTAGCCAACGGCACTATGGACGAGCTCCGCAAGCGCGCCTTCGACGACTACGGCGAGAGTGACGATGATCTCAGGAAAGAGGACATTATGTTCCCCACTGACGCTTCACATATGGGTATGTTTTATACTTAAAATTCCTAATAATGCGATTGATATTGCCCAATCATGAGTTGTCTTTACGATTGAGTAAAGATTGTAAGGTTTTTTTTTATTGTCCAGAGTGTAACAACAGCAAGCGCAGCAGCCTGCAAAGCCGAGGCAGTACATCCAGTCTGCTCGAGCGCAGTCTCACGCCACGATCTCAACCACCCACTCCTAGGTCAGTAAAAAATTAGTCTTAACATCTATCTTGTACCTGAAATACCTACCTACCTTTTATCGATGGAAACGGAAAAGTGGACGCACGGAAAGGGAATATTTCCCCTTACTATTCTTAGAAGGAAAGGTGGAGAACTAAAATCTATATCTCTAGCTTGCAAAATGTCAAAGGCGTGTTTGATTATAACCGTACTATTTTAATGTAATGTCAGATCTCAAGCGGCCACCCCGCACAAGTACAAGAAGGGCGACGTGGTATCGACTCCGACGGGCATACGTAAGAAGTTCAACGGCAAGCAATGGCGGCGGCTGTGCTCGAAGGACGGCTGCACGAAGGAGAGCCAGCGCCGCGGCTTCTGCTCCAGACATCTCTCGCTGCGCGGCGTCGCGCGCTCCTCCAACACGCCGCTCGCGCACTCCTCGCACACCCCGCACCAGAGGTATAGCTTTCCAATCTAAATGTTATAAACTATGAATATACTGCACATTTTACTCTAAAACTCCTGAATTTAAAAGTATAAAATGTCGCGAAAAAATCTTACATATTAAAGTGTTAGATATCCATATTTTTTTTTATCTCACTTCACTCATGAATTATAAAATTACACATTGAAAATGGTAACAAAATAACAATGGCCGTCATGTATAAATTTGTTTTATCATTTTAACTACATCTTTCTGTCTCAGTCAACATGGAATAAAAGAAATGGTTATTAGCCTATGCGCTATTCCAGGCCAATCTAACCCTATTTCAAATGACATCCTGATTCGTTCAGTCTTTCTGTAGCCATGTGATAACAAACATTCATCCATACAATAATTGAGATTGAATAAATTTTCACAGGCTTAAGAATTATTTTAACACGTTCCATACCACCGACTCATCCGATCACTAATATAAACATGTTAGCGGCATTCAATGTGTTAATTTTTTGTTATTCCAGGAGTAGCAGTAAATCCCTGTCGTCGAGCGGCACGTGTGTGGAAGGAGACGAGACCTCGCGTGAGTCGGACACCACTCCGCCGCACTACCGTGTTGCTGGACGCTTCGACCCCGACGAGACAGAGGCGGCCAACATGCTCGGTAATACATCCGACAAGCCCTATTTTTTATTTAAATATTAGTGTTTAAAAATCTGAGTGGGATAGAGAGATGCTGATGATGAATTTGATTGTGTGTTGTAGTGTCTCTGGGTAGCTCGAGGTCTGGCAGTCCCGGTGCGTCACCGGTGGGAGGTTCATCACCGGCGCTGCGCAGCAACGTGTTTGTACCCATCTCCTCGCCTCAGCCGCCGCACGCGCCAGCACCGGCCTCGTATCACAGCCTTATCAGGTATACAGGGATTTGAAAATGTAAAGCAAAAATAACTATTTCATTTTCGTCATAACAAGGAAACGCACTTTAATAGAGAGAAGAGAATAACAAGTTATTTTTGTCTACAAGCATGCCTGAAATGAAAGCATGACCTTAGAAATCACCCTCCACCTGCGATTTAATTTTTTAGCCCTGACCACTAACTTGTCTGAATAATGGAAACAGTGATTATAATTTTGATGTTAAGAGAAATTTAGTTAAAATCTATGTTATTAATTTCCAGGCCAGAGCTAGTACGGCCGGGTAGAGTGAGTTCTCCTGTGAGCAGTGTTGCCACCAGTGTGATCAGGGTGTCACCCGCACCTACCTATCATTATCAGGTAAAAAAATATATTTATTTACTAAAATCTCCGTTGTAATCTCTGTTTTGTCAAAGATAATGATGGCGATGAAGGTATTTTTATACATTGATTTTTTGTTTGTTTCTAGGTGGAAAACCGAAATGGTCCCTCTACCCTTCAGTCAAATAATCTTATCCAGTCCAGTGTTATCGGAATCCAAACAGGACTCAATATTCAAAACGTTCAAACAAGTCTAAACGCACCAGCCACACTACAGTCCAGTTTGAATCTACAACCGAACATGTCTCTCAATTTAAATGCGAATTCCATACGAAATGCAAAAATGGATGACGTACCGCACAATTTAGTCGTACATAGAAACATACCGACGTCAAACGGCATTGATTTAGAACATAATTTGTATCGTGCTCAACCATTACATATACGAAATGGATTATATGAAGCGTATAGAAGAGACGATGACCCATCTTCGATGAATAATCATGAAAATTTTGTGAATAAACGAGTCTCGGAATACGAGGAGGATGATCATTCCGTACCTCAGACCGAATGTAAAATAAGCCGAGGTATTTGTGAGCCCCGGCCTCTAGAACTGTCCGAGGCTCGAGTGTTTGAAGACAAGCGTATAGTGAAGCCCGCACCGCTACAGGCGCGACCTCTCTCTATGATTGATGCAGACTGCAAAGATCCAATAAAACGACTTTACGTCATTCCACCTAATTCACTGGAAAAGAAACTCGTTTTGATAAAAAAGGAACCCTCGGAGACAATTAAAGTGAGTCATAGTGTATTTGGTTTATAATAATATTATAAAGAGAGGTTTGTTTTTTTGTTTGCAATTAACACACCCAGAAAGTACTGAACCGAACGTACCGTAGAAATTCTTTTATTGTTATGAAGCTACACTATCTACGCCTGACATGGTTTATATTTGTTACCAGATTTTCGTTATGCTGCGCTGACGAAGTCGCGTGCATCTGCTAGTTTAAAAAAATGCTTATAAAAATAATTAATATTAAAATTAGAAAAGTTTTAACATAATGTGATAATTGTCTACAAATTGTCGTTGAAAAAAGTGATAACACAGCAAATATATTACAGATTTATTTTTAATTAAATAATATAACACTTCCTTTTCAGTTGGAGCCGAAAACTCACCAGTTGTTGCAAATGAGCAACAGTGAAGTGGAGACCGAGCCAAGAGTTATCGACAACGGAGACCATGTAAGTAAATACACTAGTTATTTATCTCGGTATTATTCGACACACCCTTCGTTGTTACTTTATTAAGGCTTGATGTTAGCCTATAAACAAAAAAAATACTCTGCCATCTATTGTAAAAACATTTATTAAAGCAGTTGGGAAACTGTAACTAGATAGCTTATGCAACTGATTTTTTTTATTAACATAGGCCCAAATTGTGGTTTAAATGTAAACTCGTTTGATATCTTCTTTCAGATGAACAATGTGGGCAACAGCGCTGTGATAGTGCATCCCAGTCAACTGCTGCCAGTACTGCCGCCGCCCACCTCACACACCGCCATTATTGGTATGTTACTACGATTATGACAAGCGCAGACACGTTAGTGGAAATCCCAGTCCCGCTAGTGGAAACAGGGTCTTATTACTACACATAATGTCGGCATCACGGTTCAGCGGGTCTCGATGAATAGATGAAGAACATAGTCTAGAAGAACGCATAGGTTACTTTTACTATACTGCGCGGACGTAGTCGCGGGTGAGAGCTAGTTTAACTATAAATGTATTGTTGCAGTGTCAACAAGCGGTGTGTCGGGCGGCGTGTTCCCCTGGCAGTCGCTGGTGCCGCTGCTGAAGGCGGCCTCGCCCCCGCCCGCGCCCGCGCCCGCCTCCCCGCGCACGCCCCGCACGCCCCACACCCCGCACACGCCCCACACCCCGCGCACACCACACACCCCGCACACGCCACACCTCAAGTCAGAGGAGCAGATCAAGGCGGAGAGTAATGGTATGATTACATTTTTTATAGTTGGTTTCTGAGACCAAAATCCATGTATAAAACATATGTTCACTCTCGGTATCTTTGATAAAATAGAGATGACAATGTGTTTATGCAGGGATTTTTGTCTCGGAAACCAACGATTAGTATAAGAAATCTAATTTACAAGGGTCTCCCTTAATATGTAGAGTCTTTGAGTGCGAGAGTAAAATATAGTATATTGAATTTTTATTCATAATACAGAAACCGTGACTTCAATGTGCGCGGACGAGGACGACGAGGTTTTCGAATGTGAAGACTCTGGTTCTGGCGGCGGCGAGGATGCTTCCAAACGACGCACTCAGAGTCTCTCCTCACTAAACCAGAACTCCTCGGGCCCTGAAAAGGTAAAGAGACTAAGTATACATTACAAAAGTAATTTTTTTTTTATGTTAGTCCTTCGAGTCGGATCTATAATCACTTCTATACTTGATTCTAATTAAAATTACCTTTAATTACAGAAGGAACGTCGTATCCGGCGACCAATGAACGCTTTTATGATATTCTCGAAGCGTCATAGACAAATGGTGCACCAGAGACATCCCAACCAAGACAATCGTACTGTCAGCAAGATCCTTGGAGAGTGGTGGTACTCTCTTAAGCCTGAGGAGAAACAAAAATATAATGAACTCGCTAGTGAGGTAAGAAAATAATTGTATACAATGATAAATTAAATTGAAAGAAAGTATAAAATTGAAGATAAATCGTTTCAGTCAAAAAATTCCTCAAAGATATATAGCGTCCTGGATAAGACTTGATTTTAATCTATTTTTCAATAGAAAATAATCAAGTTTTAGAATTTATATTTATTTAAAGGTGTGAATTAGTATTATTTTATTTAAATTTGTATTGGTTTAGACACACTTTACAGTCTTTTTTTATATCGACGGTTTATATAATAGAGCCACGTTATAAATTGTTCCAAGTATCTATTTTAAAATTATAAATTATATTTTAGGTGAAAGAAGCACATTTCAAAGCACACCCGGAGTGGAAATGGTGTAACAAGGATAGACGAAAGTCATCAAGTAGCAGAGATCCCACGGGTTCTATGCCACAGGTGAGTTAATTTTCACACGCGGACATTTGCACAGTTTTTTTGTATATATATCATATTGATTCAAAACCAAAAAAAATGCTTGATAGAACATTTTGCGCGTGAGCTGAATTTTTTTCTTTTATATTGTATTTCCAGAGTCCTCGAACACCATCGGATGCAGCAAGCAGCGGTGTGGCCACCAGTGTAGCAGATGTCCCGCAAAATGTTCCCGTCTACAATCACGTCTGCTCACCCCAGCTCAGTGATGACGATCAGATGGTAATTCTATCAAAAACTGATTATATTGCATATTCTAACTGCACAAAGGAACTTAATTTACCGGGGAAAGATACTTTAGTCATTAATTTTTTTTTTACAAAGATTTTGATGACCTTTCTAATATATTAAATAATATAAACAACAATAATACAAACAAATAAACAGTATTATTTGAGTGTACAATTTATCATAGCTTTATGCAATTCAACTTGTAGAAATATTAAACGATTATTTAATTAAATATAATCTTGATATTCTATTCTTAACAATATTTGAATTTTGTTAGTATCAAAAATTCATCAAGTTTTTTAATCTTCCAGATGGGTCAAACGATGTCAGAAGAGGTACCAGCTCAGCATGAGATCGAGTTGAAATGCGGTGAGAAGGTGACGGATTCTGACTCCGAGGGTATGGACACGCGGGACTATGTGCCGCAAATGGACCACACTAGACGACCTAAGCCTATTAAAGCCAGGTAATAAGAATAACATGTTATTTATTTTATTAACGGTCCGTATCTATCAGCGGAACATTAATATAAAAATTGGCAACTCTCTAAACTGAAAAATCTGAAATTGGATGGATACCATTTGTATTGATATTTCTTTTAAACAAAGTAAAAAAAAACGTGCAACTGATGTTTTACGCTAATATGACTAAGAACTTTACTATTATACAGTTTCATTAAACTTTTTCTAGATAAAAAAAAATCCAATCTAGTTTTCGATTATTTTTAATCATATATATTTTTATTGATTAGTGAAATATAAATAATACACATAAAATGGTGCACAAAGTCTTGTCTACTGTAACTAATAGTAAACAGTATCCTCAGGGCGGGTTCGTCAGACAACCTTCTGGGTGGGATAACAGCCTCCAGTCCGGGCGGCTCCAAAGTCTTCCAGCCCACTGGTGGGGCTTTCAAGTCCACGCATGTTGATACAGGTTAGTTTACGATTGTTGATTTAAAAGAAGCTAACGTTAGATTTAAAAATGACGTACGTTATATTTCACTCAAGAAATTAAAAAAATAATTAGTAATGTTTTTAAGATAGTTCCTAAAGTATTCACAATATAAAATGAAAAAAATAAATGTTATGTGAATTAATAATAATTTTTTCATTCACAGGAGATAACCATAGACAATGGACGGCGTTCACAACCATCAACAAAACAAGTTTGGCGAACCAAGTGCCAAGTTCACCGCAAGTGCAAACTATGACCAGTACACAGAACTTGACCAACAGCGTGCAAGGCATCTCTCTCAACACGCCCAATCTATCCACACAAGTAGCACTGGATAATGCCATAGCTTCAATAATGAACTCGCCCACATCGACTAGTGGTGTGCAAGTCATATCCAGTGGGATATCGATACCGAATCAATCGATGAGCCAAACTCCAACATCGACAGCACTAAGCAATGCGCTGCTAAAGAGTGTTACTCTAGTGAAGAGGAATATAGGTGATAATGCAACTGGTTAGTGATATGTTTCGTCTCAATTAATTCTATGTAATTGTATAAATTACTACGGTGCAATACCACGACCACATAGAACACAGGCGTCAAATGAACGCAATTCCGCGTACAGTCTAATCTCTTTTGATCCTATTGCCCTGTCTACCCTTTTTTGTAAGGAGGGGCAGGTGGATTTGGCAGAGAAGGGGATGCATAGCAATAGGTAATATCTATTACTGTGTGAGTGAGAAGGTGCATCCATTCCTCTGTTGATTAAAGTTAGGCAACGCACCTGAAAATGCTATCTCTATCATCTATCGACAACTTTTACCTACCTATTTTGGCGAATTTAAGTGATCGCTTGCTCGTTTTGCCATCTTTCACGATAAAAAATATGGCAAATTTCTCTTGTACTTACCAAGTAGGTAGTTAGTTCAAGCATGTTTTGTGATAGACTTAATTATTTATCTCCTTTCTCATTTTGATCTTGTGTATGTAAGAATGGTATTGTTTAAGATGAAAGTGTTCTATGCACAGCTGGACCTATAACACTGTCCGTGGACGCATCCGGCAACCTCTTCACATACGTGCAGTTGCAGAGGTTGTACGTCCCGTCCTTCGAAGCCGGTCAGTACATAGCCCGACACTTTATATACATAAATATATTATATACTTATATACTATTAATTTACAGAAGTTGATCCTAACAAGAATCAACATCAGAACGTGCAAAGCGGTGGCCAGTCTGTTATTGTATCACAAAGTAATCATACGGCGCCGAAAACGTGAGTATTTTATATGACGTCATAATTTAATATCGCACGCCAAAAGTAGCATTCACATGTGTTTAGAATTATTAGTAAACTAGCTGTCGCACGCGACTTTGTCTGCGCGGGAATAACAAAAACATAACTAGTAACTCATGTGTTCTTCCACACCATGTTTTATATGTACGCCAAATTTTATAGCGATCTGTTCAGCCGTTCTACGGCTACCTTCAAAGAAACAAACATACATACATACATACATACATACATTCATACATACATACATCCATCCATCCATCCATCCATCCATCCATCCAACCATCCATCCATCCATCCATGGATGGCATCCATCATATTTAAACTTATAATATTAATACAAAGTAAGATAGTAAGATGTTCTAGCATTGGTTAGGTGAATATAATAAGTAGTATTCTTTTTTTAGTCAATGGGAGAATCCCGTGGAAGAGGCACGTCCCTTCCCCCTGGCCCCGACGCCCGCGCAGCTCGGCAGAGCGCCCCTACAGAAGAGACTTAGTCGGGGTAATTATGTTTTTTTTTTATTTGAGAAAATTGCTTACAGCAATCAGAATGGTTTACCCCAAGCAGCAAATTATAAAACAAAAAGTAGAAGCTGCTTAGTACGTCACCTTTGAAAGTTATTATGACGACCAAACCAATAGCTTCAGAGTGGAAGCCTTATAAAATGTACAAAATTATTCACAATGTCCAACGGTTACTACAACTGAATGTTATCGGTCACTTTAACGTCGTTATAACCAGTTTTAACTTGTAGGAACATCCACGAGTTCGACAGGTAACGAGACGCCATGTCGCAACGAGGTACAAACTACACACGAGAGTGCGGACTCGGAGCCGCTGCAGTCTCCCAAGATGGCCGACAACTTGCCCAGTCCTTCGCTCAAGAAGAGTCTGTTCAAAAAGGGCAACGAAGATGGAAGGGACAAGTAAGTAATGTTATATTGTAATTACGTATTATGAAATTACTAATAAGTACTGTATTACATATGTTACAACTTCCGATTCACTAAACGCAAATATTGTATATAACCATAGTGTTTTTCTCTGTTTTCAAAAAATAAGAGAGACGACATAAGTTTTAGAATAGTGGAAATTCAGTTACGCTGTTATAAAATCGTGTGAAGTTTGCTACAAGTGGTACATTTCCAGGGTGCTGGAGACGGTGAACTTTGAACAGAAGTTCAGTACGCTGCCGCAGTTCAAGCCAGAAGCATGCAGTCCCGGCGCCATGGTGGTGCCCCGCAGTCCACACTTTTTGCGGAAGAAGCATAACAAACTCGGTATATTAATTAAAAAATAGCTAATAATAAGCCCGCATCTACTACTTTCCCGTCAAAATCGGTCCGTTCTGGAAATTACCCGGAAGAAATGCGGCCTTGCAGGCAGACAGACAAAAAAATTAACAATTAGTTTTCGCTTATCAGCTACGCAAATATATCTTATGTAAGAAATATTATTTTTTACACTACATACAAACACTCCAATTTTATTAATATGTATTATATGTAAAGATTATTATTGTATATCGTATAACTTTTAGAGGATGACAGTGGCGGAGTGACCCCGGCACACCTGGAGGCGGAGGTGCTGAGCGGCGGCGGCATGCCCACGCCGCACTCCTTCGGCACCCCGCACACCACCACCAAGCTCGTCGGCAACACGTTCTTCGGACCCGACTTTAATCTCGACAACTTTAGAGGTTAGAACGTCTATAAGATTTCAAATATAGAATTATAAGTTTAAATCTTCCTTAAGTTAGACTTTTAAACTACAGTCCAATTATAACAATAATTTATTATATAATGTACGGAAACTTTACTTAGTATTGTATGTACATTTACCTTGCATGGTCAACTATAAATATAAGCACTTATATATAGAATTTTAAGAACTAAGGTTTCTCGAACCGTTAGTTTGTCGAAAGTTTTAGAATAAAAATGAATACTGTTTTAGCGACGACGGAGCACGGTGGCGAGGAGATGTCCCCGCACACGCCGTGCAGTGCGAGCGGCGGCGCGGGGGGCGGGGCGGGCGCGCGCGCTGAGGCCGGACACCGCCGCGTGCTGGAGCAGCGCCGACACCTCGTCCTCAAGCTCTTCCAGGAGCACGGCATGTTCCCCACTACGCAGGCCACCTCCAACTTCCAGGTATAAACACCTAAATTATGTGCATCTAACAAAATACCAACTGCCTCGATCAGCGTTTATTATCACTGAATCTACAAGATTCTCTTTACGTAGTCGTAAAACACCTGATAATTATATCAATGGGAGAACGACTAATGCGATTTTTGCCATTTATTGGCTGCTTTTTTGCACCATCGAGCCGTACAATAGTTTTCAGATATCTTGGCGGTTTTTAAATTCGCACGAGTTGCTGCGCATAACACGAATTTATGTACGGCGATGCGTAGCGGAATACGGGCGGAGAGCACTGCACAACGCGCCATAGACCATGAGCCGCGAAGATATTTAAAAGAATATAACATCTTTTAATATGATTAATTATTTATTATGCGCTCTTTCATGTATAAATTGGTGTGTGTTTGCAGACAACGCACATGGACATATTCCCTACGAAGATGTCGCTGCAGCTGAAGATCCGCGAGGTGCGCCAGAAGCTGATGGCGCAGTCCAACCTCACGCCGCACTCAGAGCTCAACACGCCAACTAGTCAGTCACTATTTATTATCTTATGTTCGAATGTATGGATGTTGTTAGAAGGTATCTCCAGAACAGCTCAACAGATTTCGATGAAATTTGACACAAACGTAGAACATAGCCTAGAAGAACTAATAGACTATTAAGTTTTTTTTTAATTCCGCGTTAATGGTGTCGCGGGCGACAGCTAATACGTTTATGAAAGTGATGTATGCTAGTTTTAACCTAAGGCAGTGCAGTATTGCTATTATTTTAAAAATAACCATAAGACAGTAAGTGTGCTTGTTGTAAGTTGTGCTACAATTTTGGCTTCAACGCAAGACTACAACTTTATAAACAAACTTTAGGTAATTTTGTTTAACGTTTGAAATGAAGGTGTAAAAAAACAGATTAGAAATAATAAATCTGCTATGTATTTCAGATGTGAATTCTCCGATAGTATCCGCAGCGCTGCAGCCCACATCCACTGCCAGTTAGCGATGCGGTCACACATATGTTCTTCTTTATAAATGACAAACAAACTCTGATTGAATTCTAACTTGTAAAACCAGATTTTATCAAATATTTATAACAGCTGATTTGATAAGCAATCGCTATAAGATCATTTGGATTACTAAATTGTATTGAAAATTTAATGTCAGTGATCCAGGTACTAATTGAAAATGGAGTTAAATATAAATTTTAAATTAAATTGAAGCTAATCGTTGGTTTCCGAGACCAAAATCTTCGTTTAAAATTTATTGTTATCTGTGTTTTGTCAAAGATGATGATATGTTTTAAATATAAATTTTTGTCTCGGAACCCCACTATAAGTTAGTTCTATATAGAAAATGTCTTTGAAAATTCTTTACACATTGACACTTAAAAATAATTCTGGTTCCTGCCATTCCAAATGAAATTCGTTTTTATTGCTATTAGCGTTTTCGGTGGATAATTCGTTAATTTTAATCACTGGTATTGAATAATAAAAAAAAAATAAGTTCAGATTTGTTCAGAGTTATTTTGTTAAAACTTTGGAAATATGCGTATTATGTACGAAAAATTATGTTTTAGGTTAAATTTTAAAAATTATCAATCTGTTACTTTATGCCTATTATATGTACTACTTACATGTTTTTAAGGCATTTGTACATTCATGAGCTTAAACATTATAAAATTAATTGTATATAATCTGATATTTTGTTGTGAAAATGTTTCACGTACGTGTTGAACAGCAATATTTGTAATAGAACACTAATTTCTTATTCGTATTTGCACAGAATTTATTATAACTCTTTAATAGATGATAAAATTATGTACTTTATCATCAGGAATATAAAAGTACTATGTATATTTGTGGGAGATCTACAGATTTGTGTGTGTGTGTGATGATTTTTTGACAGTTCTGAAATTTTCTATATCCCACATTTATTTTAACTGATTAAAAGTAATACAGTTATTATTGGACTTAAATCATCGTAATATTCATAAAACATAACTCTAGATGGATGTATCTCTAACCCTGAGTTTCTGAAACCAAAAGCTTCTTTTAAAACATGTTGTTATTTCTATTTTGTCAAGAATGAAAGGGACAACGATATGTTTTAAATGGAGTATTTGGTGTCAGAAACTCACGGTAAATCAGCTTAACTGATTTCAATGAAATTTGAAACAGATTACTACTAATCTTTTTTTTTACTCCACGCGTACCAAGTTATAGCTTTGGATATTACAGACCTGTCAAATATCGTTATAAAAATGCAAAAATGATGAGTAATGTGTGAATTGCATTTAAATGAATTCGGTTTAATGTCGTCATTAACCATTAATATAAGATGAAAAAAAACGACAAAAATGAAATAAAAAATTGTACAATATAAGTGGAACTATTTGCAAGTGGGGGTCTATCGTGACATTAATGTTTAGAATAACCCACATTTTTATTATAAGGGCAATTATTTTTAATTTTAATAGGTTAGTTGAAATCAATATAGATACAGACCCATATTTTTTTTTCACAAACATGTAATCAAGAATAATATATTCTAAGAGCAATGTTTTAAATATTTCCAACGTAATCAAAATAATGTTTTTAATGAAAATTTCTAACTTCATAATCCTCAGGCAAGTTGACTGCAATTTTGATAATTAACATTTCCTATTTGTATGGATGTATCCAAAAGTGGATAACAAAAATTATTTCTCAATATGTCCTTTCAAACAACGGATATACTTTAAATTTAATTGTTTAGTGCGTTTCGAATAAGAACTTGCATGTCCATGACAATTATTTTGTCAAAAACCGCTAGAATATTATAGAATTTAACAAAAAAAACTTAGTTGCAATATTTTGATTTAAAACCTATGACGTCATCATATGGCGGGTTCAGGAACATTCTTATTTGAAATGCATTGTTATCATTATCCATACAAACAACGGTTCATACATTGAAATATGTTTTGGCTTTCTTAGAGCAACACTAACTCATTATGGGCAAGATCTCATTTATTTTGTAAGTGTAATTGTTGGTAGTAAGTTTAAAACGCGATAGTTATTTGTCCGATAGTAAATATAATTTATATCCGTGCAGCGAAAAAGGTTACATCTTAGATCACTTGAAAGATGTAACTCTTTTCATCTGATGGATAGATTTGTGTGAATCGAGTGGCAAAGCTCAAGTGTAGTTAGTTCAATGACAGTTTTGGTGTAACATTATCGATGTTTTGCAATCAAATGGGTAATTGTGCATTTACTATCGTGTTTAAATCGCTCGTTCGTGCAATATGATTTTAACGAGTGAGCTTAAGTAGGGGTTAAACGACGTCCATTTGTCAACTGATGAATTTGAACTGCGCATGCGCATGTAGCGATAACAAGAGTTAATAATTCGAGTTAAATTTGAAAAAGAAATTCACGTTTGCTTATTACTTGTAAAAAAGTACATTCAAACTATGTAGATGGCGTTAGTGTTATTGGTTGCATTTGGACGATGTCGAATTAGTGAAATATTTGGTGCGAATTATAAAATTAAACGAAATCGAAAACAATACATCGTATGGTTTTATCATTTATGTTGTGATGTCGGTCTTCCACGCGTTTTATTATTTTTTCTTTTTTTTATACTTTAGATAAATATCTACTTATTTAAATATTAGTGTACAGTGATTTACTTTAAGTGATGCCGTGTGATTTTGAATCTGTTTTTTTTTGACATTTTTTTGTGAGACTCGATTTTAAATCCCCTAATTACCAATTATAAACATGGTAAATATTGCAACTCGTATAAATTGTGTAGAAAGTAAACAGAAATGACAAGTTTTAACGGAATATCAGCTCAAATCATTATTCACAGTTAGATAAATCAATGTTTATAACAATCTCATTGTAAATATAGATTTTATTATAACAATTTAGCACTAAGCGTTCCCGGCTCTCAAAGCGATTATTTTCTTATTTTTAAAAATCGCTAATCGTTCGTGAAGAAAGGAGAAAAAAAGGTTTACTATGTGATTTATACTCTGGTACTTTTGGCCAATAAATATTTATATATGTATATCAAAATTGATATTTTTTAAAATGATCTCTTTGGCGTTTAGATAAATTGCTTTAGGAGTCTGGAATTAAAAATGAATTTATTAATAAAATAATATGTATAAGAAGATATTTTCGCACTGTTACAATCTTTGATAGTTGTGTAGATTGGTTGAACACCAAATACAGAGAGGTCTATCGAAAATTTTATAACTTTCCTCATCAATTTCAAGCAAAAATGATTTTTCTCAAATACAGGTTAAATTCAACAAAAACATGAGTAAAGATTTTGGCATATGAATGTTCTGACACTTTCCCGCAAAAATATAAGTATAGCTGTCAAAATGTATAAAAATAATTTATGGTTTTCATCGTTGTCTTTGGTTTTAAAATTTTCGAAAGACGACCTCTAACTTTGTAGTCAATTGGTCAATAATTGTTGTGGTACCCTAGATAGCAAGAACAGATACATTGTTACCAATTATTATGTAATAGTCCTGCCTTTCACATTTATACATTTTGGAATCGAGAAAAAAACTTTATATTCAATTGATTACATAGTGCTATAGGCATTGCTTTCGTCCATACTATTTGTGTTACATAGATCCAATTTTTTTTTAAATTTATATGGACACTTATTATGGAGTTTTTTGCAATGCATTTTAATAATAAAAATTGTAGATTTATCCAGAACAATAGTTTCTCTATTTAACAAAAAAATATATTTTTTAGATTTTCATGTTATTACTTTAATTTGAAAACATTTTATTAAATAACAAATCCGCTGTTTATTTTAAATCATAATATAAACTTCATTTGCTTCGAAAATTAACAATCATTGGATAAAGGTTTAACCTGCTTTATACATATGAAATAAGATCATCATAAATTTAATTCCATATTTAGGTTATTTTTTTCTTGTTACACTGGAATTCAATTTGCTTTGATAGCGTCCATTTGTTTTAAGTTTCGTTGTACGATTGAATCTTTTGAATGCTAGTTATAATAACAAATATGAAAAATCTTATTGCTGCGTATTACTTGTGCCTTATTGACTTTCACATCTTAATGTATAAAGTCTTAACCATGTTTTCTATCAAAGTGAAAACCAATGGTTATATCTTAAGTTATAGTTAAGTTTGACAGTCAATGAACAATCAGTAATAAGCAGTACTTTTTAGACTGAAGTAACATTTGTTTCACTTAACAAGTTACAATGTTATATTTTAAGAAATATTAGCAATTAGTTCAAAAGGACATTTTAAATGAAGCATTTCATATTCGTTATTTATTTCCTCTAAATAAGGCATTAGTCTAATTATTTTAGTCAAAGTGCCGTAAATGTAAATATCTTATTTAGATGGTTTATTTAGTGTTAAGTGTTCAATTTTGATGTGAAATTAATATGACAATGATAACAGATTGAGGTGTATCACATTTCCTTTCAACTTCAAATTTAAATGTTTGTGAATCCAAATAATGGACCAATAAGTAGCACCTAACTTGAACTTAAGACGTAATGGATACCGCGCAGCCAACCCCTCACTCCGAACGCATTGTTCAAACATATTGAAACATTGTACGAACTTATGTTAAACATAAAAAATCATCGAAATATATTTTGTTTTATTTACCCTAATTTCTATAGATTTTGTTGTGGTCATAAAAAAATCAGTTTCTGTGAAACATACTGATCAAATGGTTTAAAATAAAGATATCTTGCAAGAGAATGATATGTTGTCTTTGTGGCTTAAGAAAATACTAATTATTATGACAAAAGTAAAAAATTATTATTAGCTAAATAATGGTTGACTCATTGTTTGCTTACTTATAAAATTGGTTTGGTTGAAATCAAACAAAAAATATCATAAATTAACTTTTAATCTATACTAAATTGATGAAAATAAACTTACTATCATCAATCAGCTATTTTTATTACTAAACCTGGTTTCTCTTCTTCTAGCATAGATAAAGCTGTTTGCACTTGAACATTATCACCAGGATCAGATATGATGAGAAATTTAAGAGCTGACATTCTTGATAAAGCAATAATTGAACCCAAGCTTAGCTGATGACCAGTTATATCAAGAAATTCTAATGATCTTCCATTTTGGCCAGCGATTCTATCAAGGCACCATACATCTATATGTTTATTATTATTAAGGGACAACCACTTCAAGTAATTAAGACCGGATAAATTTTTCAATCCTTCATATCTGATACCATTGTGATGGAAATTTGTACAATCCACTGCTTCAACAAAATATCCATCAACATAACGGTTTGGTAAATTTAATGTTGCTATATCTCCAACAATCCATGGTGTTGAGCCTTTTAATCTGGAAAAGAAAGCATGGATTATTTTATAAAAAAAACAGCAAATATTAATCCATATCATCCAACTCAGAAACTATTAAATGAAATACAATAGACACCAAGTGAATAAGATGAGGCCCACATCTATTAGTCTTTCCACTTTTTTCACACATGTCAAACTGCTTAACTTTGGGTCGACAGCCAACTATTTTTTTTTGTTTATTTATAAAGTACATTAAATTATACTACAAAAAATCATTTCGCTAAACTTCAGGAGCAGTTTAGTGGCGAAAAGCTACACACTTAAATCTTAGCACTTCACTTAATACTTACTACGGCATATGAGACACTACAATTTAATATATAAAAACTATACTGGAATATATAAAATACAAGCTTTACAGTTACTTATTAGACAGTGTAGATATTTAGTAGGTGAATTTTAAATTTTTTCTTACAACTGCCCTTCCTCAGGCTATCTTCTCGTGTTGCATAAGCATTAAATTTTCGAGGCACTAGATATTGTAAAATAAGAAGGTATTTGAAAAAACTCACCTAACAGCTGAGTTACGGTGCGTGAAAAAGTGTATCGCAGCTAAATTTGCGCCTAAAGAAGCTATTCTTTCTGGCAAATATATTTGATTTTGTATCTCTTGAATTTCCTTCATATCGGCCCACCAATTTTTTAATTTTCCTATAGTTAAATTAGGTATATTGTTCATTGCGTGCAATATGTTCATGCTTGGATTTTTTTCTATGAAGAGCGATAACTTGGAAGTCCATTCGCCGTCTCGTTGGATCCAGGGCTTTCGCCATTCCGGGTAAGGTTTTCCGTGTACAGTCCGAGGTGGTATTCCTTCTTCATTTCGTTGATAAGATGATTTATTATCACAATAACTTCGAGTTTTCATAAGAGTATAACGCAATAGTTTTTTAGGTTGTAAACTCAACGCCATTTTTATAAACTGTAATGCCTAACCTATTATATTAAACTTTCATTAATATCTCTACTAGTCGACGATTTCAAGTAAACGATTATTATCCATCGTGTTTTAAACTCCGAATTGGATTTTTTGGATGTGTTTATCAATTTATAAAATGAAAATCTTACGTCAATGTCAAATTGACATATGATAATGAGATTCATTTTGACAAATATTTGCAATGATTCTGTCAGTGATGTAATTTATTCTCTCTTGAACTCTGTGCATTCGTATGGCAGGCCTATTTGATTTTTTATATAAAGCATAGCTTGGGGCTTGAAGATAGATTTGAAGTAACAACAGGGTTAGAATTAACTACCAGTAAAAGATACGGGCGCGTGTGAATCGGAACGAAACAAAAGTTATAATTACCAAGCAAGGACCTATCCATCTGTTGAGACTATTGTACTATGTACATTGTGTATCTGTGTATTGTCTCTATTAGGATTTTTATCTAATTTTTAAGCAATGCGCAATAATGATCTATAATTTAATTTATCCCGAAAATATAATTTTTGTATTCGGATCGAGAGTATAGCTGCTATTGTCCACCTAAAGACATTTGATCATATTATAATAATATTATACACAAAATATCGACACAATTCATAAAAGATAGTTATAAAGTCGGAAGCAGGCACTGGTATGATCTATTATTGAAACACAATGTTCCTTTATAATTAATCGCGCTAAAATACGCTACCATTTCAAATATTATAAAATGTCAAACAAACTGTTTTCTAACTTACTTACTTTGTACTTTTTAAAGGGCACAAATCTCTTGCAGTCATAAAAACATTATGTACTATATAACAAAAAAAACTTTGGTTACATGAAAACAAGTAAATAACATTTACAATAATTCCTAAAAACGGTTATTACAAATTACCAACCTCTTTGTATGTACATACATTATCCAAGGTTTTTATGCATCGTTTGCCCACTTCACAATCATAAAGTATTCAACAGTTCATACAATTTATTAATTAATTTATGTATTGGCGATTAAATAGCAAATAATACATAAGGATTTGCTAAATAAATATTGGCATTGTGGAAACACAAATTTCAACGGCAATGGGTACTAATGACAACAAATGCAGATTGTAATTAGCGTCAGGGATTTGTGCATAATCAGTAAACGTATTTCATGTCACGTCAAGCTTTGCCCACGTCATATGACGTATTTGTTAAACCTTCTGCACACATGAAAATAAATCATATTTAATTAAATATTGTATTTTCAGATTAAAGTCAGGAAATAATTACAGATTGATTTATTTTTTTCGTTCAATTTCATTTTTTTTGAACTTTTTACAGAATATATGAAACGAATTTATCATGCTCTTTGTTTTTAAAAAGAACGTGAACAAATAAGTTTTTTGGCTACCAAAATAACAAGCTGTTTAAAATAAACGATTAGTTCGAAACTCACTAAAGTGTATCAAGTAAGATAATAAAATCACAGTAAATCCTTCTTGGCTCAGTTCCAACTTTAGCCATTATACTCGACAAAGTAAATAATTTGTTCTAGAAACGCATTACAGTCGTTTTAGAAATGCTTTTAGTTATTGTGCTTAGGAGCATATGTAATTTGTTTTGCAATAATCAAGTATCTTTAAATTAAATTCAGTAAAAGTGTGTTGATATATTTTATTTTAATTTATAATTATTCTACACTTCCAAAATTACTCATGATTAGTCCATTATTACAGTTTTAAGATCATTTTTAGACAACATTTCTTAGGTATTTTCTATGTATAAAATAAAAAACACTAGCTGTTGACTACGATGCCTCACCTTCCTTATGTGGTCCAAAGAACTCTTAAGACGTTATATTTGGATGGCAAGTTGTTCCACACCTCTGCTACATGCACTGATACTGTTATTATTTGACGTACACAAAGGTAGTAAACCAGGATAGTGTAATGGATGTAGTTAATATTGCACGCTTTGGGGGCGCGCTCGTACCTGTCACATGCCATGTCACTCCAGCAGCATTTCAATGGGACTCATCTCGCAGGCTTATCAAACGGATATTGCGACATGTCACCTATGTAGTCACATAGCTTATGTACACGTTTACAATGTTCTATGTTTGTTAGAATATATCTAACAAAGTAAATAAATAAAGTTAGCCAAGCTTTATTTATCCTAACTTTCACCCGTCAACGCGGAAATAAAAAATAATTTTATTAGCATATGTGTTCTTCCCGACTATGTTCTACATCTATGCAGAATTTCAGCGATAACCACGCAGTAGTTCTGGAGATACCTTCGAACAAAAATCCATCCAAACATTCCCATTTATAATGTTAATATGATAAATTTACGCGTAACTATTTTATGCTACTATATATCATTATAATATATTTTTTATTATCTAACAGAAAATGACGATATAATGTGAATTTACTGTATAAAATCGTATACTGAATGCAATGCTTGTCAGTTGGGAAATTTGATGGAAAATTGTTTTGAAATTGCTCCTTCGAAACTTGGACAACGTCCCGAGGGCAAAATGCGTCGATACAAATTGTAACTAATATAGGATAAGAAACTCGCTTACATGTTACATCTTTTTTACTCTGACAAGTCAAGTAAACCTCGCACTGGGCTAGCGTAATTGACAAGGTCTAGACATCCCTACTTAGGCTCCGAATCCCTCAGTAGGAACCTGTCGTAAAATGGACTGATGATGATGACAAACAGTACAATTTGCAACGGTCTACTTACATACACATGGTCGTTATATGTAACTAAAGGCATCCCTTAGTGCTTATTTAGTGTGAGACGTCTACCCCATAAATGACTACGCGTGGCATTAAATCAGTGATTATTCATATGCCATTAATTAGGCGCATAGCAAAATCCAATTTGCACGATCCATTTAAAGCAATCAGCTAAAGGAAGCGTATGATAACGTCTGTTATGTACAGACATACGAATATTAGAGGTCTATAATAATGTTTCACCATCAACTCTTTGTACTACAGATATCTTTGCTTTTATTACTTTTAATAAATAGAAGAAATTAGAACATACACACACATAAGCAGAAGAATTTTTCTTTTCATGTCAGTTTTAAATCTGTGACCAAATAAAAAAAAAGTTCTGGTTATTAATACATTCTTCTCATCGAATGGGACGAAGAAGGCAGAAGATTTTTTCAGTCTAGTATTCCAGCTAGTAGTAAAGGAGTATTAGATTACTATGTATACATACAGTAAAAGATTTATATTTTAAATGTGAATAAAATCCAACATGAACAGTATTAATTACAATGCAATAGGAAAATGCATTTCGCTCCACGTTCACGGTGCGTAATTAGCATGCATGCATAATATATGTGTTATAAACATGGTTTATTATATGTATACATATATGACGACCCAGTCTGGTGTATCTGCTGCCTTAATTTGAATTTAGATTCGAATCCTTTGACATTTCGTAGTTTTACGTCTTGAATCCTTTATCTATCTGACCGCCACTACGTCCGTACGCAATTAAAGAAAAACTTAAGTAGCCTATGCGTTCTTATAGACTATGCTTTTCATATTTGTAACAAACAAACACCCATCCATCCATTCAAACATTCGCATTTGTAATATTTGTACGATTAATAAGCCATTTAAGATAAAAGAAATAAGACAGACAGAGAAATTATGTATGTTTATGCTTTTACTCGGTGAATTTAGTCTTTTCGTCAGTAATTTACTTGACATTTGTTAGAGGTTTATTTAACAAATTGTCGCGTTAAGTTTCCTGAGTTCGGTTGATAAAGTGTTAACAAAATGCATTGAATATTCGATAAGTTAGCTGGAAAATTGTCCTTAAATTGCTCGTTCGAAACTTTAGCGATACCGATGAAGGCAACAATGAAAATATCTGATCGATAATGAATTTGGCTTCTTAAGTATATTTGCTTTGCCGATTAATTTGAGTAAGTTAACTTCAATATCAGGACAAGTTATCTAAACATTCAATTGAAATAAAAATTGTATACAACATATAAAGATTTTTAATTTCATCAAAAGTTTAGGCAAAGCTTGATTTACAATGTTCAGTGAAAAAGCGGTTTAATAGCACGTACGTGAGCGAATGAAATGATAAATATGAAAATATTCCTGATAACCCCATTATGTAAATTGAGATCTATCATACCTGCACATATTTGCGAAAGAATTGAAAGATATGTTTGAAGTCAACCAACCCGCACTGGAACAGCGTGGTTGACTATGGCCTTGTCACCCCTAACATAGGGTAGGCTCCGAGCCCTGCAGTGGGGATTATAGTGAGCTGGTGTAGTGTATATTGTGAACGTGAAACAAACAATTATCAGTTCATCGTAGTTTCGTAGTATTTAATTAACAGTGTTAGGGGACAATGGTATTCTGATAGGGTTTGTCTAACGCATACGCACAGAATGATAAACATCTGACGCTGGGATGTTTGCATAAAGCAAATATGCTTCTAATGAATTGCTGATCATCGTTAGTTTGCGTTCAAACGGCGGTTCAATGAGCAAGCGTTAAATGTTTCCATTGATGAAATACCTGAACAAAAACATATTGCTTTTCTCCTTATTACCTTTGTATAGACAGAGATAAAAATATATTCTTATACCGATGTGACAGCAGCGCCAATTCACGGTTTTTGTAACAAAACATTTATTTTCAACTAGTTATGCCCGCGACTTCGTCCCCGTGAAATACTGTCTTTGAGTTGCGCGCGGTACTGGATAGTACGTGGACATTATCACATTTTTTTTTTCTAAAATAAAACTAGAGAGATATAATTTAAAGGAGAAATATAATTTCTACGTCGTCATTTTTTTTGCCATTTAATGAAAATAAAATAAAATTTTGTCCAAATATCTCATTCGAGTCATATTTATGTATCGGACAATGTGTCCCGCGATCATTAATTTCATAACATTCTACGGATACAAATAAATGATAAAATATCTCTGTTCCACAATGTTATACATTTTTAATTGCAATTCTGAAAAAAAAACATGTTTCCAAAACCTGATTCTTGATAAACGATGTCTGAGTGTCATATAAATATTGTGCAAACCACATAATATTTAAAAACATTCAAGACCTATTTATATTACAATAAATCTATGAATGTATTCTTCTTACTAATTTTACAAATACGAATGTTAGGGTGGAAGTTTGTTACAAGGTATCGCCAGAACGGCTGGAAGAAAGCATAGGCTACTTATTAAGTTTTTAACCACACGCGCAA